TTGACCAGGGGGCGAAGGGGTCGGGGGGGCTCCTGCTGCTGCACGCACCCCTGGACCTGCATGCAGGGCAGGGTAGATTGCCACTGTGGGTTTGAGACAGGGCAGTGCTGAGCTCTTCCCAGCAGGAGGCTGGGCCACGCTGCACTGGGGACAGGCGCTGGTGGTGCTGGGAGAGGGGCTACTGGGGAGGAGCGGGGCTGCAGCCACCCCAAAATTTGCCACTGCCCTCCTGCCCCCCCCACGCCCTCCTGGGGTGCACACAGCAGCAGGAGCCACCCCCACCTCCTCACACCCCCCCAGATGAACCACACGCAGCTCCGACCCATGCCCTGTCCCGACTGGACTGTGCAGTGTCTGCCCTTCCCCAGCCCCACTCCCTCCCTCACTGCAGGGGCTTCAATCTGCCCTTCTCATACTCCTTCCCTCCCCCTGCCCCTTCCCCCACAACAGACTTACTATCCGGACCCAGCTGCTCTCCCTGCTGCCAGGCTGTACTGGCAGTCTGCAAGCTGCACTGCAGCTGCACACATGCCCGGGGTATTTATCAGCCACATCAGCCAAAAAAAAGCTGACTGCTGATACTGTCAATTTTCCTTACATTGGTGCCAATCTGATATGGGACCGATATATTGGTGCATCTCTACTTAATACTGTTACTAATCTGGGGCATTTTTCCTCTAGGCCTCCCACATTTATTTATCTCAGGCAAAGCCTAGACAAGAATAGGAAACACTCTTTCACTGACCAGCAAAGAGATGAGAATTGATGAGGTTGATCATTGTATCTTGTAGGGTTGCTAATACATGCTGGTGAGCAGTGCAATAAGTCCCTTTTATTTTTTTCCTGTCCAAGGGGAAAACCTTTCATAAGAACCCTGCAGTCTGCAATGGTTAATACTGTATGTTTTGCGGTCATACCTGCACAACTTCCCACCCCCACTGTCTGTATTTTGGATCATGCGTCAGTCTCCACATGTACAGGTAGCTTTCTACCACTTCCGGGCGTAGAATATAATAGCGCTCGCTGAGCCTGGTGGCTGTGGCTTCGGTTCCAGAATCAAAGCGAAATGCTTCGGGGCCAAGTTTGGTATCTAAATGAAATGAGAACACACAATAATCACGATTTAAAATTAATCAAAGGAGAGGACAGGATTTGAAAGGGCTTTGATAGAGCCATAGCTTCCAGTGGGATCTAAAAGCGGGATGAAGAGCATCAACCACAACAAAAGTTCAAGTCCAACCCAGTATAAACTCAATCAATTCCATTGGCAAAAACAAGACACTTGGCAGGGCCAGCTCTAAATTCTGCTCACACAGTTCTGGTGAAACGTTTGGATAACAAGTACAAAAACTTAAGGTACTTCTGAGAATAGTAGTATGGGCCACATCAAGAACATCAAAGATTGTGCATTACAGTCCACCTTGATGCAAGTAAGTACAACTTTCATTGAAGTCCATGGGTCCTGGCCAGGCTGTATTTTGGTCCCAAGACTCCTAACATGTCCTACAGAGACTTCTCCCACACAGCATTAAGGCCTGACCCTGGAGGTGATGACAAGCACCCACATTTTACATTGAAATCCACAGGAGTCAAACAGCGGAGGACGCAGCTCTAAGGACCAGGCCCTGAATGAGAAGGATCAGCAAGGCAGCTCTTACAGCAGAGCACCAGAAAAGGTTCTGCTGACTCTGCAGTCAAGGAAATGTGTGTGTGATCCCTCAGATGGGAGTCTGTAGGCCTCACTGACAAAGGGTCCCAGCCAGCTGGACCATTACTGCCACAAATGCACAAGGGACCTTTTGAAAAAGGGTGGCCAGGAGTTTACAGAGACTGTATCTGATGCTCTTTCCCCTCCAGTATATGAACTTGGTTTTTCAACTGGAGACTACCACAGAAACTGGGTGGATTTGCTTGATTTAAACTACAGTTTCTAATAATTAAATAAAACTGATCCTTGCGTGCCTTCTCCATGAGGGTGTCAAAACACTCTGTGCATGTTAACAGACATTCACAGCAGTCCTTATCTTTTACGCATAAGGAAAACGGAAGCATCTGGATTACTGGAGAGTCACATGAAGTCAGTATCAGCTGGGAACAGAACTAGGGCTTGGTGGCCTGTGTTCCTGTGCTCTTACCATGAGGCCATGCTTCAGGGATCCATTATGGTTTTCTCCACACACAGTTTGTCCTGCCTGGGCCCTGCTGCATGCACGAGAATCGAGGGATGTTTAAGGCACAAACTTGCCCTGTTTGCTGTTGTCTGAAATATAATGAGCTGGCTGATGTGACAGTGCTATAGCTGGTAATGGAAGGCTTAGTGCTGTCCCTTCTATGCTGGTGGGTACTGCTGAAGGTGAAAATTGCCTCCAAGCAGTCACAGCCAGAGGGCTGCTAGTTCAGGTGGCTAGTTTCACTTCTGGAAGCCCTGGGGGAGAAAAATGTGTTTGGAAGTCTTATTTCAATCTGCCTTGACGGTGATTCAATCTGCCATAGGTAAATTAACTAGATGCAGCTCATCAGTACAGGTGCACAAATACTAGTAAGACACCAAAGTATGATAGGGGATGGCTCTATGAACAAGTTACCATGAGAAAAGCTAGGGTGGTGAGGGCCAGCCATGGCATAAATTAGCTTCGCACCCTCCCCAAGTGCCACTCTGATTCCTTTCCACTGCCCAGTGCACTGCTCTGCTGTTTGCTTCTCACCCTACCTGCTGCTGTGCTGCCTGCTCCCTCCCTGACTCGCTGCATGCCCCACACAGAGGCCGGCATGTGAACCCACAGCATTTCAGTCACTTCACGGTACCTGCCTGCGTGCATGCTCTTACCCCACAGCAGGTGCTATGCAGGTTACCTCCCCGACATCGAGCAGCTGACATACTAGGGACACACCCTAGCAGCAACTCCTTGTGCAGCCAGACCTGTAAGGAACAGTCAAGCAAAGATGGAAGTCTAGCAGGCCAGACTCCCAGAGACAGAGCCGCCTACAGCTATGCATTGTGCAGACAGGTGTGCTGCAGGAGCACCTACAAAGAAAGGAACAGTGGCATCCAAACTGAGACTGCACTTACGGCAACGCACTGCTTCTCTGCAAGATCTTTTCAGCTGTATGATCATCGTGGGTTAGGCTCTCCTCACTAACCACTTCTGGCTTGAACCAGGGCTTGCTGAGGGGTGGCTATGGACTCCTTGTTAGTATGGACTGCCTTCTCTGTCTCGGCATTGCTGTCATAGCATACTTGAAAGAAAATATTCAAAATGCTTTGAGAGCAAAGCACATTGTGCAGATGCACGGGTTTCTCTGGACTTGAGAAAGCATGAAGAGATGCATCTTGCCTTCTCAGAAGCTTTCTGGTTTTGCTTCTGGTTCATTTTAAGGAAGAACAAAGAATTCAGTGGCAGGTTTTTAACATTCTGCAACACCCATAACTCTTAGCTGGACCCAGTTTCACGCCATGGGAGAAGTTAAGGTCAGATTAGAGCTTTTCTTCATTTCTTCCTGAAGTGGTGATGTGACACCCAGGAGCTCATAGATTCATAGATTCATAGATTAAGGGTCGGAAGGGACCTAGTAGATCTTCTAGCCCGACCCCCCGCCAGGGCGGGAGAACAACAAAAAACCCAAAAAAGAGAAACGGGACTCAAACGAGTCCAGCCAGGTAGGCATCCA